ATAAATATATATAATACTTACAGAACCTGAACTCATCGTATATATTATATTGCATATACTTTTCTCTTCCAACCGTTTTAATTTTAAACAAATTCTGCTTGCTTTGTTTTCTTCTTTTTCCTTTGATCGACATCTAACAATCTGTTTATATTTGTCTCCTGTATGTTGTAAATTTAAATCGAACTGCAAGCTTGCGCGCGGATCTGTAATTCTAGTTACTAGTCACTCTAGTTCCTTTATCGCGTACCGCAAACCGCGCTCCATGTAATCGCACCCTTAGTCTTTGCCAACCTTCAAGCAAAAAAATTGGTTAAGAGCTGTACTACAGAGTCTAAGGTGGTCACCCTGTCTGACCACAGACTGCTTCGTTTAGAGATAGGAACGCGTAACGCTAAAGAAACTTTTAAGTCTATTAACAATAAATTCGTAAAATGGAATTATCATAAATTAAATACAGATATGCTAATGGCCGGTTCTCTTGGCATGTCATGGTCAATGGATGTCACGGATATGGCTTCCGCACGCCTATTGGTTGAATGGCTGGGTGACTCCCTAAAGATTATTTCGGATCTCTCTATGCCGCGAAGCAAGGGTTTCCATAAAGAGTCCGCCTATTGGTGGAACGAAGAGGTGGCGACCTCTCGTCGTGCGGTTATGAGGGCGCGTAGAGTTCTCTCTCGAGCGAAAAAAAAGGGAAACCCTACTATAATAAACATAGAATATAGGAAATATAAAGTATGCCTGCGGACTTACAGACTAAATATTATAAGAGCCAAAGGGTGTTTACGATAATTCAAATTCGAGTTAGTTTTACTAGGGCCAAAAAATGAGATAGACATAACCATCTAGAACCTTTATGATTTATGACAACTCGACGCTGTCTTGTATTGCTTGAGTTATATTCATTGAATTTATTGAGTTTATTGAGCAAATTTTATTGTAATAGAAAAATGTATTTATTATTATTATTAATTATATTATTATTAATTTATTAAAGAGGTATACCAACATACATACCAACATTATTTGTTTCTTTCATAGACTGATTTGCAGTTGACATTTTTCTATTACAATAAAATTTGCTCAATAAACTCAACAAATTCAATGAATTTAACTCAAGCAATATAAGACAGCGTCGAGTTGTCATGAATCATAAAGGTTCTAGATGGTTATGTCTATCTCATTTTTCGGTCCTAGTGAAACTAACTCAAACTTGAATTATTGTAAACACCCAAAAACGGAGCGTGGAATGAACTCTTGAACGACATAAATAACGACCCGTGGAGATTCCCTTATAAAATTGTAATGAAAAAGCTAAAGCCTGTTGCACATTCGGTGTGTGAAACCCTCTCTCACTCTGAGGTGGAAAACATTGTCAGTGCTCTCTTTCCGGATGACAGTAGTGAACACACATCTGCTGACTCTCTTCCACGCTTTGTGTGGTTGGATGATTACAGCGTCAGCGCGGCGGAATTATCACGGGCACTTAAAAAACTACGCGGTAATGGAAAGGCTCCCGGACCGGATGGAGTCTTCGGGAGCATCATTGCGGGTAGCGCGGGGAGCTTCATGGAGGTCTGGCGAGCCTGCTTTAACGCGTGTCTCAAGGAGGGTGTCTTTCCTACAGCTTGGAAGACTGCCAAATTAGTTCTCATCAAGAAGAAAGATGGAATTCCATCAGATCCTGGAATTTGCAGGCCTATTTGCCTCCTGGATGAGTCTTCCAAGTTGTATGAAAGAGTTATCGCTTCCAGATTAGGGGATCACCTGAGGTCGACTTATTCCCTCTCTGATAACCAATTTGGTTTCAGGGAGGGGAGGTCGACCCTGGATGCAATCCTGAGACTTAGGCATATAGTCCACGAGGAGACTGAAGTAGGTAATGTCGTCATCGCGATATCTTTTGATATTAAGAACGCATTTAACACGCTACCGTGGAGTGTTATTCGCTCGGCCATGGCCTCCATGGAGTTCCCGAGCTATCTCTGTAGGATCATTTCTGATTACCTATCGGATAGATGCTTAGTTTACATTGACTCCGAGGGTATTGTACGCAAACGGGGGGTGTACCGCGGTGTTCCGCAGGGTTCGGTTCTTGGACCAATCCTGTGGAACATGGGGTACAACAGCGTACTAAATATGGAGCTTCCGGCGGGCTGCCATATACTGGGATATGCAGATGATACAATACTGATCGTCTCGGGCGAGAGCTTTGAGGCGACATCCCACCTCGCGATGGTTGCGTCAGGAATGGTAGTAAGGAAGATAGAAAGGCTTGGCCTTGAAATCTCACCGCATAAAACGGAGATTACGGCTTTTCCGGCCTCCGCAGTTGGTCATGGTTCCTATAAATTAATTATAAAAAACAAGGAGGTAACCGTTGCTCCCACTCTGAAATATCTCGGTATCCTATTAGATGGTGATTGGAGTTTCACACAACATTTTGAAAATCTATACAACAAAGTAAACAAAACTGTGGGTTATCTTAGAGGAATCATGCCCAACTGTAGAGGTCCTAATGAGAGAGTGAGGAAGCTATATCTGAATGTAATTCTTTCAATGCTGCTTTACGGCGCCTCGGTGTGGTCGGTCTCACGGGAGGAGAACCGCAGGGCGAGGACCCTAATGCAGGGGATACTGAGAAAAGTTGCACAAAGAGTCTGTTGCGCGTATCGCACTGTATCGTTCGTAGCGGCGTCTTTGATATCCGGGACTCCACCGGTTGAAGGTTCCAGGCGCGTAGATTAGCGGTCGTCTATTTCAGAACCAGAAATGCCATTGAAGCTGGTGAGGATATTTCTCCCGGTGCCAGGGCAAAGTGGTACCTGGAGGCGAAAGACCAGGCGCTGTCGGATTGGAGGAAGAGCTTGATGAAGCTAAATCATACTCACCCCAGCCTTAGGCTTCGAGAAGCATTAGTTGATAGGTTAAAGGAGTGGGTTAACAGAAAGCACGGATGGGTCACCTATCATATGACCCAAATTTTAACGAATCATGGGTGCTTCAACGAATTTTTGCATAGAATCAGGAAAGCAGATTCCGCAATCTGTTACCATTGTCTTGATGCTGTGGATACTGCTCAGCACACCCTCCAGTTCTGCAGCGCCTGGAGTGCCGAGAGAGCTGAATTGACGCGGGTTATCGGGGATCAATTAGACCTCCCGTCTGTCATTGATTCCATCCTTGATGGTATAGAAAAGTGGAGGGCCTTCTCTGTCTTCTGTACAAGGGTATTGACCTGTAAAGAGGCGGCGGAAAGACAGAGACAGGCAGCGAATCGCAGGCAAAGAACTGGCCATATAGACTCAGAAATATCCGAATAAAATCACTTGTATAAGTATATTTTAACATTTATAATATGATGTTGTAACTTAGTGTTAGTTTTAGGCTTTACTATTACTTATACTATTACTATTGTTATTATTCTATATATATATATATCCTGCGTTGAAGGGCAACTCGGGTATTCTACACGCTACTCGTGTAAAGTATTGGTGTTGCGTACATATAAGGATTTTATTATCACCTAAGTAGTATTAGTTATTATTATTTTATAAGTAGTAACATATTGATTAAGTTGCGTGCAGCGTAACTATCCCTTTTGTTAATTTCCCGGTATCTTATTAGAGCCTTCATTCGAGGGCATTCCTGAGGGAGAGGCAGAGATATGCTCTAGCTAGTAAGCCTGCCTCTCTCTCACGTAAGGGCCTGATAGGCATGAGGTTTTAGCTGGTAGACGGTCGAGATGCGCGGATGGGTTCTTTTCATGGCTGATGGAGGGTGTCATCTCTATCCTTCCCCCCCGATATTGGACATTCCTAGTACCGCCCGGGATGTCGGATTTGGTTAGGATGAGAATGGGGACTCTTTTATCGGTCATGACGAGAAATCCTCCCAGATGCAAGTCTCGGCCAAATCCAGCACTACCCTGGTCCGGGCCAGGGTGTCTTTTGAAGATTTTCTTATCTCATCTACAAAAAAAAAAAAAGGTTAAGGTTAGGTTAGGTTCTCGTTGTGGCCGCGGAGGATTGACGGGGGGGAGGTGCGCTGCTCTTCTCCCCGGTTGTACCCGGACTCGTCGCGCTCGGCCGGGGGTCGTCCTTCCCCGTGCTCGCGCGATCATTCACACACACATTCTTGGTCTCCGTGCTGTCTGTGCGCCTTCGCTGTTGCGAAGATGCTCGGAAG